ATAACTGACATCAATCTGTTTTGGGGAGAATTGACTTCTTTATTGAGTATTTCAATCTATGAGTAGCTCACATGTCTTCATTTATTAAGAATTCCTTGGATTTCTTTTAGCAGTGTTTTGTTTCTCTTTTTAAAAAATATTTTACTTATCTGTTTTTCTTCTTTTTTAAAGCAGTGTTTTGTAGTTTTCAGGATACAGGTGTGAACCTAAGAGTATCTGAGACAGATTGTAATCAATGTAGAAAGATTATATTGCTAAGATTAAGGACACCCATGACACAGCTTCAGATCCTCATGACATGTGCCCAAGGTGGTCGGGGCACAGCTTGGATTTATACATTTTGGGGAGACATGAGACAAATCAGTATGTGTATGGTGTACATGGGTTCAGTCTGGAAAGGTGGGACCACTCAAAGCTGGGGAAGGGACTTCTAGGTCAGAGGTAGACAAGAGACAATGTTTGCATTCTTTTGAGTCTCTCATCAGCCAGCCTTTCACCAAAAACGCATGTGGGGTGGAGTCAAGGAGTAGCCAATTATTCCTTAGTTGGCTTAGAGAAACAACAGGGCAGAGGAAGCCTTCAGACATGCATTTATCTCAAGGAACAGAGGGAGGACATTGAGTTCTCTGTCCTTGGTCCACAAGGAATTTCCTTGTGGGAAAATGGTGAGGGAGATATGTTGCTTTTTAAAATCTTTGCAGCTGTCTTATTTAGGACAAAAATGGGAGGCCAGTTTGCCTGACATGGTTCCCAGGTTGACTTTTCCCTTTGGTTTCGTGATTTTGGGGTTCTGAGATTTATTTTCCTTTCACACAACTCCTGTGCTTGTTTCTTTTTCTTTCGATTTTCATCTAAGTATTGATTTTCTTTGGAGTGTTTGTAAGTCGTACTGTATTTCGAATTTTGATGCTCGTGTTCATTGCTAGTATATAGAAATACAACCGATTTTTCTATGTCCTGTGACCTTGCAAACTTATTGTTCTAGGAGTCTTTTTAAAAATTCCTTGGGATTTTCTAGGCAGTTGTGTCATAGATGGAAATACTTAATATTGTTACTTTGACAGTACTCGCCTGACTGATCTGTAAATTCAACAAAGTCCCTCTCGAAATCTTAGCTGCCTTATTTTCAAAAATTGACAAAAATCCTAACATTCATATGGAAAGGCAAGAGTCTCATATTAGCCAAAATAGTCTTGAAGAATACAGTTTGAAGACTCATACTTTCCAGTTTTAAAACTTAGAACAAAGCTATGCTAACAAAGAGAATGGCAGTGGCAGCAGAATAGACGTGTCCATCAATGGAATAGAGTTTAGAGTACAGAAATGAATCCTCATATTTACGGCCAGTTGGTTCTCGATAGTGGTGCCACCATTTCTTCCTTCTGTATACGTTCTGTTTCCTTTCCTTGCCTAATTGCACTGGGTAGAACTTTCAGCACTACCTTGAATGAGTGGCAAGAGGAGACATCCCACCTTGAATGAGTGGCAAGAGGAGACATCCCGGCCTTGTTTTCAATGTAATTTGCTTTTTCTTAAATAAAAAAGACACTATTTCGTAGAGACGTTTTGGGTTCACAGCAAAATTGAGAGAAAGATATAAAGGTTTTTCATGTAGCCTCTGCTCCACACAAGCACAACCTCCCTCACTGGCAATATGCACACCAGAATGGTCCATTTGACACAAATTGATGAACCTACATTGACACATCATTGTCACCCAGAGTTCATAGTCTACATTAGGGTTCACACTTGGTGTTGGTTAGGAAAATGTGTAATGACATGAATCCACCATTATGGTATCATGCAGAGGAGTTTCATTGGCCTAAGAATCCCCTGTATTCTACCTGCTCATCCCTCCCATCCCCGACCCTGGTGAGTTAAGGTAAGAATTATTGTCTTGTGAGCTTTATTGCCGAGTTAAAAACGAGGAAACTGAGGCCAGCACAAAAACATTAAATTCCAATTTATTCGGCTCCCGGGCGAGGCTCTGCACTCCCAGAGAAAGACGCCAGAGAGGTCACACCCAACTCCTCTGGGCGTGGGATTTTATAGGGAGTGAAGGCGTTTGATTGGCTGTGGATAAACAGGACGTGGACGTAGCAAGCTGCTATAGGTACGTAGGCGGGATTTCCGGATGGGGCAATGCGCTACTGGGCAGGTTTTGGCGGGGCTTTCCAAGGGCGAGCTAGGTGCCTTGCAGAGGGGATTTCCAAGGGCAGGGTTGAGTGCGAGTGCAGAGGGGATTTCCAAGGCAGAGCTATATGATAGGCATATTCTGGTGATGTAATTTTCAGGTGGGGAGAGGGATGGGCATGTCCGAGCTCCTGGCGAGGCAACCAGCCTTACAGTGACCACTGATATTTTTACTGTCTCCATAGTTTGCCTTTTCCAGAATGTCATAGAGCTGGAATTATACAATATGCAACCATTTCAGATTGGCTTCTTTCAGTAATCTGCATCTGTGTTCCCTCCATGTCTTTTCATGCTTGATACCTCGTTTCTTTTTAGCATGGAATAGTCTTGCATTGTTTGGATATAGCACAGTTTATATCTATTCCTCTACTCAAGGACTTCTTGGTTTCTTCCAAATTTTGGAATTATGAATAAAGCTACAAACATCCACGTGCAGGTTTCTGTGTGGACATGACTTGTCAACTCCTCTGGGTAAATATGAAGAAGTGTGAATGCTGGATCATATGGTATAAATATGTTTTGTTTTGTAAGAAACTGCCAAACTGTCTTCCAAAGTGGGTACCATTTTGCATTTCCACAGCAGGAATGAGAGCTCCTGCTTTTCCACATTCTCAGCAGCGTTTGGTGTCGTTGCTGTTCTGGATTTTGGCCATTCTAATAGGTGTCATGGTTTTAATTTGCATTTCTGATGACACATGAGGTAGAGCATCTTTTCAGATGCTTATTTGCTGCTGCCTGTGTATCTTGGCTGAGGTGCCTCTTTGCCTCTAAAGGTCTTTGACTCATTTTTTAATCAGGTTGTTTGCTTTCTTTTCCTTTTTTTTTTTTTTTGAGACAGTCTTGCTCTGTCACCCAGGCTGGAGTGCAATGGTGCGATCTCAGCTCACTGCAGCCTCTGCCTCTTGGGTTCAAGTGAGTCTCTTGCCTCAGCCTCCCAAGTAGATGGAATTACAGGCATGTGCCACCACACCTGGGGTTTTTTTTTTTTTTTTTTTTTTTTTTTGTATTTTTAGTAGAGATGGGGTTTCACCAGGTTGGTCAGGCTGGTCTCAAACTCCTGACGTCAGGTGATCGACCAACCTCAGCCTCCCAATGTGCTGGGATTACAGGCCTGAGCCACTGAGCCCAGCTTTTCTTTTTCTGTTTTTTCAGACAGGGTCTCATTGTAGCTACCAGGGTGGTCTCAAACTTCTGGGCTGAAATTAACCTCCCTCCTCAGCCTCCCAAATAGCTGGAATTATAGGTGCAAGCTCTGTTTTCTGTGCCTGGCTCTGTTTTCTTAAAGTTGAGTTTTAAGAATTCTTTGTGTATTTTGGCTAATGATCCTTTATCAGATATGTCTTTTTATAAATATTTTCTCCTGTTCTGTGACTTGTCTTTCCATTCTTGACAGTGTTTCACAGAGCAGAAATGGTCAATTTTAATGAAGTGCAACTTATCAATTCTTCCTTTCATAAGTTATGTCTTTGGTGTTGTATCTAAAAAGTCATTCAAACCAAGGTCATCTAGACTTCCTCCTACATTATCTTCTAGGAGTCCTAGAGTTGTTTTTTTTTAACACTCAGATCTGTGATCCATTTTGAGTTAGTTTTGTGGCGTGTAAAGTCTATGTCCCGATTTGTATTTTTGCATGTGAATGTCCAGTTGTTTCAGCACCATTTCTTGAAAATACTATGTTTTTTCCTCCATTCCATTGCTTTTGCTCTTTGTCAAGGATCAGTTGGATATTTTACGTGGGTCTATTTCTGGACTGTCTATCCTGTTGCATGGGTCTGTCTACTCTTTTGCCAATACCACACTGTATTACGTAATCTGCTTTGAAAATTCATATACCAAGACCTTAGTTTTGGTTATTATGCATTTTTTTATTTCTACAGTTTCTAATCAGCTCTTTAAAAATTTTCTTTTTTTTTTATGGGATTCAGATGTGACTTTATGCATCTGGAGCACACTAAGTGCAGCCGTATGAAGCCCCATGTCTGACTGCCCCCGGTCAGGCAGCCTCCTCCTCCTCATGCCTCAATTGTTTCCACACGTTGCTGCCTTGTGTACCTGGTGATCTCTGATTGCGTGCCAGGAAGGAGGTGTTTGATAAATTGTGGGCAGAAATATTTTGAAGCCTTGGACGATGAGACCTCTCTAGAGGAAAATAGCATTTGCCACCATCTGTTGCCAGGGGGTGCCAGCAGTCTGATACCCCCACCATTAGGTGTTAGGTGTTGGGGCCTCTGGGCCCCAGGTGAAGTGGAACTGGGCTGCAAGGACTGGTGCAGCCTTTCCTCATGGTGCAGCCTTTCCTCATGGTGCAGCCTGTCACTTCTGCATCCTCACTCTTCCTGCTGGCAGCTGGGGCCAGAATCGAGCCTGTGTCCAGTGTGAGAGACACATAGTTCCAGTGTCAGGGACAGTGGCTTTTCAGGAGGCTACTGCCTCCTTTAATGAGATGACAAACAAGAGGCACCTGTCACATCCGCCCAGAGGCCACTGACGGCATGCCGTCTGCAGCAATCGGTCCTGGCCGCCCCCCACATGCTTGTAGCTCTGTCTCGTCGGGTGCTAGTGCCAGATTCAGGGCTCTGTCCCTCCTCTCCAACCTTGCCCACCCTCTTTGGAGGTGGTGTCCACCTGCCATTGCCACTGACTGTTCAGGGTGAACTCGTATGCCCAGCTCCCCCCAATGCCACGCTCTGTTCCTCAGCTGGGACCCCAACCCCTGGTCCTCCACCCTCCCCAACAGGGTGACAAATTCAGGGGCACAGGTTCCCTTGAGCATATTTTGAAACACTGAAGTAAACGCCAATCTAGGGAACAGTTGACATGACACTCCTTTATTAAAACCTAAGGACATCGTTATAAAAACTACTGTATAGAAAGACAAAAGCAGAGCAACAGCAGTCAGTGAAAAACACATTATTGTTACATTCTAGTATTATTATTAGGAAGATTATTGGTTTTTGGTTTTCCCGGTTATCTGCTCTCAGGCCCCATGCCTGCTCCCATGAAGTCAGGGTGGACAAGAGAGAAAATGTTTCCATCCCTCCACCCTGCTGCTGCGTGCCCTTTTCAGACTGGCCCTGGGGAGGACACATCGACCTTTGGTGGGAGGTTTCCTGCCTTGTTAAGGTGACTGACTCCTTACCCTTGCAGCCTCCACCTCGTTACTGCACATGGCCCAGACGCTGACCACTTGGTTATTTGACTGTGATGTATGTCACTATCTTTAAAATAGGACACGGGGAGAAACAGAAAGAAATTGAATATGAGAAACTGGTATGCAATTCCGAGAAGCGGCTTTCTTGGACTCCCAGCTTGGTTCATGTTGTGGCCGTGTAATCTACAGTTTTTGATCCAGTGCTCAGGATTGGCGCTGACCAGTGTGGGATTCTATTCATTTTGGAGGGGCTAATTTAGGGTCATTCAACAGGGTACCTCATCCCACAAACCCAAGGGTCACCATTCTCAGTGCAGCCCATGTAAACAATCTTCCTGGGAGCCCATTACCATTGGTGGGACAGTGTCTGGAGTTGAGCCCTGCAGCAGCCCTGAATTTTGGTCTGTCAAGGGCAAATCCATCAGGGCTTTGAGTGAAGGTAGGAGTTTTAGGTACAAAGTAATTAATAGCCAAATCTGCTCATTCATCAAGCACCGATCTAGCACCAGCTGTTGGCCAGGGGCTTGGACTACAAACGGGGGTGGGTAGGGGCCATGACACCTCCAAAGTCACTTTTGGGGGTGAGACAAGTAAGGGTTCTGTATATATTTTGTGAATCTGAACATGTCCGTTAGGCAAAACTAGTCATTTTATAGGTGGTCCCAGCTCTAGCAGGAACGGCTCCCAGGTGGGTGCTCGGCAAGTATCTATTGAACAGGCGAGGGAAGTGCGTATCATTGCACGGGTTTTCTAGGAGGAGCCTGACCTCTTCCAGCTGGCCTGACTGCCTAACTTTAACATTTGAGCTTTTCTGGCCACAATCCTCAAAGTTGTCTGCATTCATTTAAGTACCAGAGCCGGACATGTTACTACGGCAAGGAACGAGAGCACTGTGTGGCATCTGCCACACGTAGTAAGTGTACAGCCTTGTCTGCTGGAGGGCACAGGGTGTGGCTCCAGCCCAGGGATGTATTCCTGGACTGCAAAGGACAATGATCAGGGCATCATCCACTCACAGCCCCTCTGACCATCCGGCTGCTGTTGCAGGGGCCAAGCAGACATACTCTGATGCCCACCATGTGAGCAGGATGAAGAAGAATCCCTGCCATTTGCTTCCACCCCACCCTTCCAACCCTAGATTTTCACAGCAGACTAAAGGGGCCCACGTGGATGTGTCCCTCCAGGGAGGGGTGGCCCTTCAACATTGCTAAGACATATGCCCCCAGTAATGCCATCCAGGACTGTAATGTTTTCTTTCTTCCCTTCCTCCCCAACGGAGTCTCATTCCATTGCCCAGGCTGCGTGCAGTGGCGCGAGCTCAGCTCACTGCACCTTCTGCCTCCTGGGTTTGTGTTAATTTCAAGCATGGGGGTATCTGTAAATTCACTTCTGCATGTTCTTCCTGTTGATGGGGACCAGCCAGCCAAGTTGAGAAATTAAAATAAGCCAACAAAACATTCTGCACATCTGCACCTCTGGGAACACTGTTTCCTTAATAGACATGGTGATTGTGAAGGCTGCCGAGCCAGCAGAGGGGCCGGGGTGGGACTGTGGCTGGAGGGATGTAAAGGTGGGGGAGTCAGTGCCGGGCTCAGCCCAACCCACAGCCACAGTCCTGGTCTGTTCGACTAGACCTGAAGATAGCTTTTAGGTTGATGGTGAACTGGGAACCATCTCCTGTCTCAAGAAGCCTGTTAATCCCCATTCCTGGTGGCGTTTTTCCTGACATTCCCCAGTCCTTCTCTTCAGTTCTTAGCCAAATTTGAATCTGATGATGAGGGGAGAGCCACCCACCCAGGGACCACTGGCAGCTGCCCACCTGCTGCTTTCTAGAGAATTAGAGCTAGCAAGAGGGACCGAATCTACCTGTGGAATCACCTGTGTGTGCATGCACACCTGGTTACATGTGCACGTGTGTATTCATGTGCATGTGTGTGCATGTATGCACTTGTGTGTTTTCAATTAAGGCCTGTTGCATGTCAGCAATAGTCAGGTGCTGGCCAGGCAGCTGGAGGGGGTGAGGCCAGGCGGGTGAGCAGGCTGCTTCTCAAGGTGCAGGGCACGGTCAGAGGCTAACGTGAGGGCATCGAGCCAGTGGGCACTATCAGCTATTGGTTCTGAACAGAGATTCTGAAACACACAACAGTCACACCGTACACAGACGAGAGGGGAAGCATAAAACTGCTCGTGAATCACACACAGTTCCCAGCGGGAAACAGTCCTTACAAACGCGGTCATTCTGCACAGCAGCCTGGATCGCAGATTCCTCTGTGGACATCGTGTCCTCTTCTCTCGTGTTTGTCTTTTCGTATTATTACAAATTACGTGGTGATGGACAGAAGCTCACAGTAAAATGTAAAAGTAGGCAGCTTAGAAAATCAGGTGTAAGAGTCACTAAAAAATGCTAACCCTAGAAATCTAAACTTGAACTCATCACGGCCCTGAAACCCTCTTGTTCTGAGGGACACTACTCATTGAAGGACCTGCCAGCCACAGCAGGATGGGGACAAGGTTTATCACGATAACCTGGGGACCTATCGGGTTTTGAATACACACCCCCACCTGCTTTCCACACCGAGTATTCACACCCACGTGACATTGTTCTCACTCCTTGGCTCCCCTGTGAGACAGCAAGGGCTGTGCTCCCTGGAACCTCACCTCACACTTCATAGGTGAGAGGCAGAGGCTCTGAGAGGTTAAGTGACTGGCGGGGATCACCTGCGTGAAGGAGGGTGCTGTGGTTGTCTGCACTCTGCACCTGCCTTTGCTGAAGGCTACCTGTACCAGGTGTGCAGGGTCTTGGTGATCTCTGCTGAGGCCTCCTGCTTGCCACAGAATGTTCCATGCGTCAGCCTGGCTGCCCCAGAGGTACTCGGCAGAGCAGCAGAACAACAGACCCCATGGGCCTTTTCAGTTCTTCCCGAAGGACCTCTGTTGGGGCCAGGAGGAATGTCCTTCTAGAAGGTTGTAAATATGAAGGGATGCAGCTCCAGTGAATCCCAGCTCTAGCTGTCTGGCAGTGACCTCTTACCCCAGGTGTCCAGGAGAGGGAGGCAAGGCCACCAGTTCTTTCGGCACAGGAAGCAGCTAAAGAGCATCATCCAGAATAGCAGGACTCCAGGGTGGCAAACCCCTGACAGAACCGTCCGATTCCTTCCTCTTACCAGTGAGGAAACTGAGGGCACAGGCGTTGCCTGAGGTCACTCTGCTCTCAGTGGCAGAGCTATGTCAGAATCTGGGTCTTGCTCCTCCCTCCCCCACTGCTGCCAAGGCTTCCTCTGCCTCCGGAGGCACTGCACAGGGGATGCAGCTGCGGCTGCCCCAGCTGGGCTTGTGGGCAGGCTGTGCACCCCTCCATGGCAACATGGCCCTGGGATGGCTCACATCAGGGGACAGCAAGCCATTCCTTTCTCTAATTGAGACCCCAAGCAGAGGTTCTCCTACTTTGCCTTGGCCAAGCCATATGCCTGGAAGAGACGGCTGGTCCCAAAGACTGAAGCCAGGGGTCTTCCACAGGTGACCTTTGTGACCCTGGGCAAGCTACTTGACCTGGCTGAGTCTGTCTTCTCATCCATAAAAGGGGGAGAGCCCCTTCTTTCTGGTGCTGTACAGAAGATGGAGAGCCAGGCAGCATGGAGGATGCTTTATGCCCTAGCAAGTTGTTTCTGCTTTCCCAAAGGCAGGGCACTGTGTTTGTGCAGCGTGACTCAGTGGAGTCCGGAGCTGGGCACTCCTGCCTTCCTTGCCCTCTGTGTCCCAGCCACCTGGCTTTCTTATGCTTCCTTGAAACCACCAAGCCTATGGCTGCCACAGGGCCTTTGCACTAGCTGTTCCCTCAGCTGGAAAGCTCTTTTCCTATCTTTAACTCCCATGGCTTGCTCCTCTGTCATTCAAATCCGGACCTCAATCACCTGCTCAGGAAGGCCTTCCCAGACCTCTCCAGGTGCACAAGGGCCTCACCGAGTGTCCCTCAGACTGAGTTCTCAGCGGAGCACTCACCATCCTGTACCTTCCTTCTTCAGTCTTCCCACCCCAGCTAGAAAGTCAGCAAGGACCTGCCCTGCTCACTGTCATGTCTGGTGAATGGATGGGCGGTCAGCATGAGAACAGTGGGTCTGATGAAGAGAGGATACACACGTCTAGTAAGCAGGGCCTCCCAAGCTAAGAGCTGGGGAGATTTGGTATCACTAGCAGCCATGGAATGAGTGTGTCTACACTGGCAGTGTAGCCTTTAGAGACATTTGTGATCATCTAAGTGGTGCCATCTCATCTATGCCCCGGGGTTGGGGGGCAGGAGTGGAGGTGATTAGCTCCGTGGGTGGATGTTATGGGCGTTGAAGTTTAGGTGGATATCCCACTTTAAAGTGGATGGATTTCTAGAACTCTCCTCTCTGGGTTTCCATAGCCTTGTTCCCCTTTCCAGCAGAGATCCATGTGTCTGTCTCTCCCCTCAGATGGGGAGCTCCCCAGGGGCTAAGACTGTCCCCCCACAGGGCCTGGCACACAGCAGGCACTTAGCCACAATGTGCTGAGTGGATCCGCGCTCCAGGCCGTGATAGTGAAGAACTCAGGGTGATGGCCTGCAGAGGCATCAAGGAGACGCTGCTGGCATTGTGCAGGGCGTGCCCTGGCTGGGGAGCACGTCATATCCAGGGTGTTGGAGACTGGACTTTGGGTTCCTGCACCCCTGAGGTCAAAGGAGGGGTTGATCTCCTCCTGGCCATGTGGCCCTGGGCACCCCGTCCCCGCTGTTTATGCAGGGGGTTAGTCATACCTGCCTCCCAGGTGGTGAGAGGGAGTGCGCATGAAAACACTTAACTCGGTGCCTGCCACCCTCAGCCTGAGATGCGTCCCTTAGTATTACTATCATTACAGGAACGAATTCTTTAAGAATCAACCCCAACTGGCATCTTCAAATCCCCAGTGCCCCCTGAGACACAGAGGGGCTGTACCCTGTGCTTAGCAAAAAACTGGTGGCCCAGACATTGACACTGATGAGAACCCCCAGCCAGAGGGTGGCCTGTGCCCATCAGAGAACTTGAGTGGGGAAGCCCCAATAAAAACCAACCAACCAAGCAAACAAGAGGAACACCCCAAATCACACACACGCACACACACGCACATTCAATATTCTGACACAAATAGGCCCAAGGGGCTGCTATTGGAGGGAGCGGGGGCAAGGGAAGCTTCGGTTTTCAACCACAGGTATAACTCACAGGCCTCAAACCGCCTGGCTGGAACCAGCCAGAGTTGCTTTTTCTTGGTCATCCTGAGTCCACAATGAGTCACCTTTCAGAAGCCACCAGCCCAAAATAGGACTATTGCTTGCAGACAGGTGGCTCAGAATTCCTTCCCCTGTACCCCCAGCCCCTACCCCTGAGTTTGCTCCTAATCTTAGAAGTCCAGAGAAGGGAGTTTGGGGCAGAGGCAGCATTTCCTCCTCTGCCACTGCCGCCACCTTGGCTCTCCCTGGCATCTCTGTAGAAGTTGTTCTTGGAGGCTGCACCAGGTGCTTCGGCTCTCATCTCCCCCATCCTGAGGCACAGCAAAAGGGTTTTCTGGAAGAAATAGAAAAAAGTGTCACATGGTGCTTTCTCCATGGGGACCCACTAGGGACATTTCTCTGTGGCCTCAGTGCCAGAAGAAGCCAGGTTTCCTCTGAGCACCTGGCGTTTGCCTTCTGAACACTGTGAACCATGTGACTTTAAGACTGGAAGCAAGATAATAATGTCTGCTATCATTATAGCGCCATAGAGTACTAGAGCCCTGGCCCATGCAATAAGACAAGAAAAAAAAAAAGCATAGAACTAACATAGAAGAACAAAGGTTACAGTTAATTATGGATAACTTACATAGAAAATTGAACAGAATCAACAGGTTAATTAGTAGAATGGAGAGTACAGAGATATGATAGTTAACCTATAGGACATCAGATCAACTTATAAAAATGCAAGAGTGTGCAATGACCTCAGCAATGACCAGAGTAATTATATGACTGGGCTTGGGATGCTCTCAGTTAACACCTATTGTTTTGACGTAATTTTTAATATTGTTTCCCTTTTACCTTCAAAAGCATTGATTTGGATGATAAATTATACGGTCACCCTTGCTATAAAAAACAAAGTATGAAACACAGATACGGATACCATTCATACTGAAAAACACCATTACACATTTTGGAATAACACTAAGATATGACCATGTCATACAAAGTGATGGAGAAGAGACCAAGGTGCTCCTGGGACAGGGAAGAATCAGGACACCAGTGCAACAGGATCTGCAGTGTGGAAACAGGTCTGCGGGGCACTTAGAGCTTTGATTGGCAGAGTCATGTTGCAAACAAGACACTGAGGAAAAGAAATATTAACTCCATCTGTGGCAGGCCACACGAACCCCACTGCCCTGTGTCTGTTATAGGAGCAACTGGCCAGTCACAAATACTTACCTTCCCAGACTCCCTTGCAAGCAGGGGTGGTCACATGATCCAGTCTGACTAATGCTGTGTAAATGGGAGTCTATGGGGAAGGGGATAGGATTCCAGGGGAAGATGGACTATCTTGCATGCATGAGAATAAAGGACGCTCACAGGTGTGGGAGAAATTTCATTCTGGTGGCAGCCCACCCTGGACTGCCTCCCCACACCACTGCAGGAGAGTTTCTTTCACTTGCATACATTGCATCTGATGACAGTTCTTAAATGATAAACCATCTTCAACCAGGCTTAAAGTGCATTTTTTTGGGCAAATAGAGAGGTCAAGGGAGGGGCTCTAACAAAGCCAGCAAAGCCCACCTGTCCAGAGTGAGTGATACGCCAAGAGGCAGGACCTACTATCTATTCTTAGCATCCGTGGGAATGTGTACAGGGGCTAAGGGTGAGGGATTCTGTGGGGCCGTCTCCTCTGCTTCACAGAACAAAGCCAGGTCCAGGTATTCTCCATCACCCATAGCACCCATCTCTATCCAGCGTACCACCTATTGTCTTCCCCAAATAGAAAGTTAGCTACAAGAGGGCTAACGTGATTGTGTGTTTTACATACTGCTGCATTGCCAGGGCCTACAAAAGTAACTGGCATAAATATTTGTCAAATGAATGGATGAACCATCTTTCAAGTACAAAGTCCACAGAAAAATGTGCTGAGCATGTTTGTGAATTACAGTTCCCATTACTCCTTCATAATAAAATTATTCAGGACACCCTTAGGCAAATCAAGAATGATTCAAAGGACGGGCAGATGATTTTTTAAAAGTTCTGTGGATGGATGGTGGTGATGGCTGCTGTATTAGTCCATTTTCATGCAGCCGATAAACACATACCTGAGACTGTGCAATTTACAAAAGAAAGATGTTGAAATGGACCTACAGTTCCACATGGCTGGAGAGGCCTCACAATCATGGCAAAAGGCAAAGAGGAGCAAGTCACATGTTCTGTGGATGGGAGCAGGCAAAGAGAGCTTGCGCAGGGAAATTCCCATGTTTAAAGTCATCCGATATAATGAGATTTACTCACTATTATGAGAAGAGCATGGGAAAGACCCACCCCCATGATTCAATGACCTCCCTCTGGGTTCTCCCATGATGCCTGGGAATGGTGAGAGTTACAATTCAAAGTGAGATTTGGGGTGGGATACAGCCCTACAGTGAGAAGGTCCTTAATGCCCCTGAACTGTGTACTTAAAAATGGTTAAAATGGTAAATGATATGTGCATTTTACCACAATTCAAAAAAGGACGAGCAGAAGCATAACAAACAAATGCAAATGAAGAAAAATCCAGGGGTCAAGGTGTACATGGAACACTGCCAAGGGCACCAGAATTGTGTGGAGAATTTGTGTAACTGTAGGACTATGTCTGCAGCCTGTCTAAAGACTTATGGCCATCACAGAGAAGAATGAAACAAAACAGAGAACTGGCATGAGTAATTAAAAAGTAGGAGGGGCTGCTTACAGTGGCTCACACCTATAATCCCAGCACTTGAGGAGGCCAAGGTGGGCAGATCACCTGAGGTCGAGAGTTCGACACCAGTCTGACCAACATGGATAAACCCTGTCTGTACTGAAAATACAAATTTAGCTGGCATGGTGGCACATGCCTATAATCCCAGCTATGCAGCAGGCTGAGGCAGGCGAATTGTTTGAACCTGGGAGGCGGAGGTTGCGTTGAGCCAAGATCATGCCTTTGCACTCTGGCCTGTGGGGGACAAAAGCAAAACTCCGTTTCAAAAAGAAAAAAAAAGGGGTGGAGGTGAGAACAAGGGAGGTAATATAAGTAAACTATGTCATATTCATGTATAGTTGTGGGGCTTAAAGAATTGCTTAGAAGTTTAAAATTAAGGCCGGGCGTGGTGGCTCATGCCTGTAATCCAAGCACTTTGGAGGCCAAGGCGGGCGGATCACCTGAGGTTGGGAGTTCAAGAAGTTTAAAATTAGAGGCATTGAGGTGAACAGAAAAAATATAATCAACTAAAAATAATGTGATGGAAAGGAGACAAGAGGAGGAAAAAGCAGAAATATTCTAATTTTGACATCGTTCACAGGAGGGAGAAAATAAATGTTGTCTAGAGAAATAAGAGGATTAAAGCTATCATGTTGTATTATAATTATGAAGATAACCATGGGATCAAAAACACAGCTTTCCAAATTATCAGAATACATACAAAAAATAAGACAACAGAGACCATATGGTGAAAATTGACAACCCCCACAAAAGCTCTAAAAGCAGAAAGCATATCAGACAATGATGACAGAACAAAGACCAAATATATCTGCCGTATCAGTAATGGTAATGAGCCATACCCACTTGCTAGAAAAAGAAAAGACTGGATCACAAGCAGGTGCACTGGAGTTGGGACGATTCAGAGAGGTTTCATAGAAAAGGATGAGCAGATGACTTTTACAAAGTTCTGCAGATGGATGATGATGATGGTTGCATTATGGTGAGAAGGTACTTAATGCCCCTGAACTGTATACTTTAAAAACTGTTAAAATGTGGCCAGATGCGGTGGCTCATGCCTGTCACGTCAGCACTTTGGGAGGCCGAGGTGGGCAGATCACAAGGTCGAGATCAAGGCCATCCTGGCCAAGACAGTGAAACCCCGTCTCTACTAAAAATACAAAAATTAGCCGGGCGTGGTGGTGCACACCTGTAGTCCCAGCTATTTGGGAGGTTGAGGCAAGAGAATCACTTGAACCCCAGGAGGTGGAGGTTGCAGTGAGCCCAGGTCACAAACTGCACTCCAGCCTGGCGACAGAGCGAGACTCTACCTCAAAAAAAAGGTTAAAATGGTAAATGTTCTGTGCATTTTACCATGATTTAAAAAAAAAGTTTGAGCAGAAGCATAACAAGCAAATGCAAATTAAGATGAATCAGGGGTCATAATCTTAATATCACACAAAGTTGAAGTCAAGGCAAGAAATACCAAATGAGAAAAAAGAAGGGCACTATGTGAGGTGTGAGGGTGAAGGATGAGCGTCACCATGAAGATTTAACAGTAATGAATGCTCATGCACCAAATAGCATAGCCTCAATATTCATAGAGCAAGAACTACTGGAAATTTAGGAAGAAAAAACAGTATGCTAGTGTTGATGCATTTTTTTTTTTTTTGAGATGGAGTCTCACTCTGTCACCCAGATTGGAGTGCAATGGTGCAATCTTTGCTCACTGCAACCTCTGCCTCAGAGGTTCAAGCAATTCTCCTGCCTCAGCTTCCTAAATAGCTGGTGTAACAGGTGCTGGCCTCCAAGCCTGGCTAATTTTTTTTTTTTTTTGCATTTTTAGTAGAAACGGGGTTTCACCATGTTGGCCAGGCTGTTCATAAGCTCCTGACTTCAGGTGATCCGCCCACCTTGGTATCCCAAAGTGCTGGGATTACAGGTGTGAGCCACCACGCCCAGCCTAGTGCATTTTAATTCACCTTTCTCAATCCATTTCAGATGCAGTTGGCAAAAATAAAAGGAGATAGGGAGCCAAAAAATCTAATTAACAACTCTGTGTGTGTGTGTGTGTGTGTGTGTGTAAAATATAGTCTACCTTCCTTCTATTCAAATGCTCTTGAAAATGCATACGCAAAAAATGACTATCAGGCCACAAAGATGGTAAATTCCAAAAAAATAAGACAACATTGTTTGATCACAATATACCAGAATTTGAAAATACTAATAATGAAACCACAAATCAAACCAAATTTTGCCACCAAGAAGTTTATAAACACTTAAAAAATAACCTTGAGTTAAAGAGAGCAAAAAAATAAACTGCGGAATATCTAGACAATAACAAACTGTATGTTTAAGGAACTGGGGGATGCAGCCAAGCCCGTACCAAGAGGAAAATATATAGTCTAAAACAGTAATCTTATTAATAAAGGAGAAACCATGAATTAATGCCCAACTCAAAAAGTTAGAAAAGGACAAAATAACCCCAAGAAAGACATACAGTAGCAATAAGTAAATGGAAACAGAAATGAAGTTAACAACAAAAGAAAGGAACTCATAAATAACTCCATGTTCTTTTTTAATTTTTAAATTAATTTTTTTTTTTTTAGAGACAGGCTCTTGCTCTGTCA